GGTCAACTAAGTCCAGCAGATAGCGCAACCGGAGATCGTCACAGTTAACCAGGACCGAAACGAAACGTTAGAGTACCTTGTGGCATGGTGGTATTGGTGAGGAAGATAAGGGGGGTGGACCACTTTCAAACGCACTGTTTGGTAGCAGCAGTGATTGGAGTGCTGTAAGTCTCTTTTCAGAAACAGACAGTTTTATGTGGTCAGGCATGCGTGCACCAATGGTTTACCGTGAACCAAGTAGCTAAATTACAGAGTACGGATGACACAGCGGACACTGATCAAGGATGCATTGCTTTCGACACGAACAATCCATTCCACTAACATTGGAAGCCAATTCACAATGCAAACATCAGCAATGATTTAAATTCCATCTGTTCAGCCTTTAAATTTGACCTCAAAAGATAATTCTTTTCCTTTACTAAAAACGTCTCAGCGATCGTTTTACACGAATATTTTTTAACTACTCCCTATCCTATGTCAAGACTTGCTTGCATCCGGCTCACCGGTGCCCAGGTCGGTGAGCTACGGTGCTGACGCTCGCTCCTTTAGATTCCTACGTTTGCGCACCCTTGTGGGCCCGCGAAGATAACCCGAAGGACACTTATCAATTCTATAGTCCCCAAGGTAAGCAGGTCGTATGATTGATCAGCAATCTGTCGCACCGTGGCTCTCCTTGTGACAGACGATGCACTGGTGATTGATGAACGGACAGTTTTGGGTAAAGTGTCATTCACTACACTACAGCCTCATAGCCCACTTTGGGGGTTCTGGAGGAAAAGTCATCGCCGCGTTTTATGTCAGACGCTGACACGTGCAAAATCGATGATGTGGCGGGGCCTTTAAATTGGCCGTTGCCTTTTTCGCCAAACATCATTTATTACATTATACACCGTAGATGTATCAGCGTTGGACGATTAAGCTGACATATATTTTATTAAATCAACTTCCAAGGTCTATGAGACCAATTTAATCTATCCACGTCTTGAATATAAACGCTGCTATCGCGCACGATCCCCGATCCATTGTGTTTGGGCACAAAGATTTACGTCGAATGAAACGAATTATGAAGAAACGTTTTGCTGAAATCTCTTCGTTCTGAATGGATGCAAATCTCGAAGATCGTTGCGCGATCGAGTTATAACAGTACACGCTTCCCATTTTTCTACCCATTTGTAAATTTAATATTTTTGATGCTGCGTGTTTGATGCATGTACAGTTGATGGTGTAAAGTGCTGAAAATGCACCCATTTGGGTACATAAAGCTTACCCTGACTGACTGCCTGTGGTCAAGAAAACTAAGTCCTCACTTCGAAGTTGGCCGCGGATGGAGCCTCTGGACTTCCGGGCTCAGGTCCTAAAAGTAAAGAACACGTTCAGTTGGATACATTTGTCAACATGGCAGAGAACGGACCACAATGATGCATAGGTGTAGATGTGATATGCCACTTAGCTTAACCCTCCAACAATGATATCGTTGTTAACGCATAAGACAAAACATAAACAACAGTTTCCCTACCGTTGTCTTCTTTTTTATTGTCACCTGATTAAAATACATCGCGGCACAATAGCTGAAGTGCTTCTCACCCCAGCTAGTGTGTTAAATAGTGATGAGTGACTACAATTTATTTGAGATCGGAAAGCTCACACGAAGGATTCACTCAAGTTGAGTGGGTAAGGTAACACACCAGTTTCAAGCATGGATAACGAATGTTGAAAACTGATGATGTTTCATAAAATATGAAAGTAAGCACATCGGCAGTCGCTTGAAATGTATAATTACAGAAGTGGTTCAGCATAATGAAGTTACGCGACTGTGTTCATTTGCCTCCAGCGTCGGTGTCCACAGAAGTTACTTGGCTGGCATCATCAATTGCGATGGTGTGAACCATAAAGATATTTTCATACCGGGGGTGCCAGGCTGCGAAAGTGATGCCTTCCCCTATAGCGCCCAAAAAGATAACTGCTATATTTCAAGTACAATTTAATTGTTGACCGATTGTACATTATTCCTTCATGTTTTAATCTTCCATAAAACCGGCTCGGCACTCGACCGCTTTGTAAGTTCCCGCGCTCACGTGCTCGATCATTTTTACTCGGCACAATTTTGCCTTACGAACCTCGATTCAACAGTCCTTTTCGAAATCGAAGGCTTTCCATGTTCAGCCTTCTAGGGGGGAGCTCTGTAGCGCCCAAAAAGATAACTGCTATCTTTCATGTACAATTTAATTGTTGACCGATTGTACATTATTCCTTCTTGTTTTAATCTTCCTTACAACCGACTCGACACTCGACCGCCTTGTAAGTTCCCGCGCTCCAGTGTTCGCTCTTGTCTCGTTTCATCCATCCGCGTCTTCTTGTAGCCCATCGAATACACTCCAATTGCCTTCTGATATGCACGCTTAATTTCGCGCACCGTCTCGGACTAGCATTAACTAGCCCTACACCCCGTCTCATATAGGGTTTGTATCGCTAGTATCAGCCCTCCGGCTGAAATCGACCCATCATCGCTGTGGGTGCAAAAGTGAGTGCTTAGAACCACCGTACTTCCCAGTGTTGTAGCTGAAGCATAGCCGTCTGCCGCTGTGATTGTAGCAATTGGGTTAACTGTGAATGATCAGTCATTTAAGTCGACACTTGTTATAACCGTCAAGTCACAAGAAACAGTAGATAGCTGACAATATATGGTAGAGTAGGAGAGCATGTCCGACAGGCAGAGTCAAATAAGCGCGCTTTTTATACACATGGACCACAACCGAGCAGTAGGGAAGTGAAACTCATAACCAGTGACCAGCGACGCTGTTTTGATGTTGAGCACCGGACTGAACTGTTGCCGAACTCACGTAGTTCCCCGGAATTTATGCAGAGTTCGAAATACTGTCACCATGCAGCGACTCAAACTACGCAGACTACAGTTTAGTTTTCTAAGGACAACACTGCGCCAACGCAAAAACCACACAGACTACACCAATGCTCTCTCCAATGACACTGCTGTAACCACCCTCTCAAGCCACACTGAACTCAACTGAGTTTTTCCATGTTGTCGCACAGTGACAACTCACGTGCATTACTAACATTCATCTTCCCATACAATTTGTGCAACACACTGATATACAGCTGAGTTACAAATACCAGGGTGTGGAAGGTATGTTCGCCTTTGAATACTAACAAACGAACTGTTGCTATTGGCCAGGTGTAGTGGCTCGAGACTGTAAGTTTGATCTCTAATGTCACCCTGTTTTTACATGTCTGGTGGCTAGGTCAATTAGACCGTACCGATCCGAATTCAATTGGGTTCTTTGAGTGTGGGGTGCTAGCGGTGAAGTGTGTTCTGTTCGTTCCGAATAGGGGCCGGCAGAAATAACTAGAGTTTGTAACACTAACCTAAAACAAACTCGACATTCACAGCCGTCCGTCGCAGTGGAGTCGGTTGCAGAAAAACTAACGCGTCCAGAAAAGCCGAGGTTATATGATGTATTCCATACTAAATTTCAGATAATGTTTAACATTTGCATGATGGAAAATCGAAGCTGAATGTACCTCTAAAGAGGCCGATATGTTGGCTCCTGGCGTTTGAAACACTGATTTATCCAGAATCAACATTCTCCACTCAGTTCGATCGCAGTGACGAAGCTCCGCCAATTTCTGTAATTTCTCTTTCTGTATCGAAGACAGTTTTTGTACGCTCAGTAATTACCACGCCCGCGCTCATTGATGGACAAGGTAAAGGAGTAGAACGCTCGTTCGGAAAGCGTACTTTGTTTCCACTTTCTGCAGAAACAACCATATATGTCGGTTGCCCGTGTCTTCCATATTGTATTCTGGCCAAGACCAGAACCCTTTCGCGAGTAACTACTATGAGAGGAGACTACCTTTTTCCACTATCCTCCTTCAAAAATCGAGGAGTTGGAAACAATGGAAGCTGTGTTCCCCTAGAATTTCTCTTCGGAAAGCAACTCCGCTGGAGAGTTACATGTCAACTGATAGGCGATTCCAATTTTCCCATAAATTTCCAACACGCCGTTACTGCTACTTGTATTTTGTACTGCATCTCCCGATCAAAACGCGAAGCCGAATGAAAAAAGCAGACTCGATGAATTGAATTCTGATACTAACGGTAATACGATGAAGAATAATATGAAAAGTTCACCGTTATCCTAACTACAGTCTTTAGAATGCCGAACATGACAGTTCTGGGTATTTTGTCTATATAAGAATCAGGCATAATTTAAGAAACCGGATGCACATTATCCTAGTAGAAATCTAGTCACATTGATCAGCCAAAGAGAACCTGTTGCTTCTGCTTACTATTGTTGGGCTAGCCACAGCAGTAAGAGAGTCATACATTGCACGTTCGTTGGTTATCTAATATGGCACTATTCATGAAATAGTGTTAATCTAAGTACTAATAAATTCGCAGCGTCCCAGAAGTAACTGAAATGCAGAGCATTTTCATTCTGTTGAAATCTTATGCTGAGCATGTGATAATTTACTGAAACTTCACTGGAGATTGCGACGGATGCAACTTTCGGCTGTAACGATTTTATACAATAAACATCAGGGAAAGCAAAATATACATGCAAAACTGCAGCAGAGTCACGCGGAATGCGGTACACCCATGTGGTATGAGATATGGAGTCGGAGAATGATCCAATTAACATGAGAGAATCTTGGTAACGCCCATAGCCGCACTTTGTGCGCTGCTCTTGACTTGGTGACAGCAAACTGGGGCGGATTTTACCATACTCAATGGTGTTATTATTGGGGAAACATACGCAGATGTGGTGTTTCAGGGAAAATAGTGTGTCCGGATTATGCAGACCAGATCACCTTGCAATATGGCAGACGTGGAACCGAACAGACAACACTGGATAAACTCACAAATGTTGTTTTACCCCTGGGCATAAGCGAAGCATCATTACAGATCTGCGTCTCTGAGACTACTAGGGCCTCGATAGCCACCTTATTCGTGATGTCAAGAGCTACAAAAAGTCGATCAAGGTACCTATCTTGAGATTTGTATATAGGTGATGAACGAAAGAACGCTGGAGATGGCCTACGTATGGCAGAAGTGAAATTACGATATTCACGGTGCAGGAACGGAAAAGCTATGTGCACAAGACAATAGTGTGAATCATTCTCTCCTATAAGCATTATTCCCCCAGTGACGGTCCGCAGCGAACTAGTCCACTAAGTGCGAGCTCAGTTCAATTAGAAGGATCGATGCGCAGTGTGTACTAGCATATGCACTGGGTCAGATTTGCCGAACATTTATGTCCGATCTAAAGAAGGCGTGCGTAAGACTCACACGCAATAAAATAATGCACCCAGTATAAAGTGAGATAACACATCTAAAGTGGAGCACAAGGAGGCGTTAGCCTCCAAATCAGTTTAGATGACGAGCGACTAATAACTACAACAAATGGAAAATCAAAATGTTACGGGTTATCGAACGATTTGGTCAGACAGCCATAAGACCGGGAAGAAACTGAACGATCTTCAAATAGAAAACTGCCAAACAGATGGAAGTAGTTTAGGAAAAAGAAAATGGCGCAAAAATCTATTGAACTAAATAAGAACTAACAAATTACGAACTATCTCAGTTGTAGGCGAAATGAACTGACCAAATGGTACAAGCCTCATGTAACAAGGTCCGAGTGAGTGCTCAAGCGTACAGTACTAACAGTTGAGTATGAAAGCAGGTAGAAAAAGGATGAGCAAGGAAGCGTAAAATTATGGGTTACAATACTTCAACTGCTGTAAAGAAAGACGTAAGCGAAAGAAAACATCAAGGGTCATTCAGCCAAGGGAAAAGGAAAGCACAATATGAGCCCAACGTAATCATGAAAAAATGGTCTGATATCGCTGGTATAAAGAAGACAATTGTTATAAGGAAGGTAAAGGCAAACAGGCGTTGCGAGGTGCCTACAAAATGGAGTTAAAATCAAGTAGGGTGGACGGCGGAAAGACTGGAAAAATCACGACCGGGATAAGATTTTTCAAGAGTACATAAAAGGCCGACCGATAAAAACGCCGAATAATCAAAACAACTAACAATGGAAAAGAGAATATGTAAACTTTAGACACATCGAATACTCACGTCAGTAAAAATAGGACTAAATCTACAATTGAGCTATGCGTGCTGTAGGGGTTACAGCGAAATGTAAATCTACATACATCGGCACATAGGGAGCGGTACTCTAACACAGCTGTAGCACAATAGAATGAATGCTGAGCGTGCTAAGGGCTTACGCTCATTGAAAACGATAGAGGAAACGCAATAGCACCAGACTAAAAAGCAACAAATGTCTGAAAAGCTAAACACTTGCGTACTGTTTCTTGAACAAGTTCCAACCAGTGAACAAAAACGTAATGAGATGTTCGTGTTGATCGGCGGATAGCCGACTAACAACTGGAGGAGAACCAGATGTTAAAGAGCCGAATATGCGTAAGGCTTGTTCCGGTTTACTTGTCGGAAAATTGGATGAGGATAAATCGGCATTTGGAAGAGGAATATAGCAGAACGGTGGTTTGAGTACTGAACTTGGCTTTTTGTTATGACTTAAGGTTGCAGAAAGTGAAGCTGTTTGATCACTGACACCGGCTTCAGAAATGTCGCAGCGGTTGAGGTCCAAACGTGAAGGGCACTGAACCATAGCATACTTATCTGAAATCACAGAGTCAGCGAAGGAGCTACTGTTGAAAGAAAGAGGCGATTTCACCACAGAATGATTTGGGTTAAGGTACCGGACTTTGGTCCGATCACCAATACTCGAGGCCCCAGTTCGTGTGGGTTGTAATGGAAACCGATTAGCAGTGAAACGTTGGGCCACTGGGAAAGATGCATAATCGTTGGCAACAGACGGCCTTTGTAGCAAGATACCGGCGCTAGAATCGCGAGTATGGTTTGTTCGAGGGAAGTATAACCCATCGTTGGTTTGTCTTGACTGATGCTTCTGTTTTCTCCGGTGCTTTCTTCCGGTAACCAAAGTGAACTCTTCATCGGCTGAACCTGATCCTGTGTGCAGATATTCTGGCGAGGCTGGGATAATTGACTCCGCAGTATTCGAGGGGGAACCCTGCATAGCCGGCATAGTTGCTGTCATGTCTATAAGGTCTGTGGAGTGATCTCCGGCATCAACAGTTGAAGCACTATCTGGTTGACGAGGTCTGTCCTCATTTTCAGAAACGAAGAAGTCAGAGTCAAGTTCAGCGGAAGTCGGGTAACCCAAGGGACTAAGATGAGACGGTCGTGAAGCAGTATAACGCGAAGATTGCAGGGACCTTTCGTATTTTGTTTGGGATTCGTTTGGTAGATTATTTGACGCATCATCAATAGGAGTGGAATCTTTCAAACAGTTTACTGGTCCATGAGGTTTAGCTGATGATAAAATGTCGGGAGCACGATCGGTCGACAAGGTAGGTGGGGTTTGTGACACATTCGAATGCTCTACCGAGTTATGCAGAGTACTTGCGGTCGAAGAGATTTTGGTCTCCGAAGGTAACTTCTGTCGCGTGACCTGATCCTACATGAATACGAAAAGATCAAGGCAATGGGGGAGAAGCAAGAAAGTGAGAGAGCAATCCATACAGTGAGATAGGCGCAGTGAAAAAAGTAATGACGGGATGAAGAGACATTCCAAACAAAAAGTGAAAAATGTTTTAACAAGTGCAGGCGAACTATCTGATTCTGACAATAGAAACATGCACATTTTGTCGGGAGGAACTGGCAGTGGCTAATCAGAAACCGAAGAAACAGAACTATTCGACGCATCCTGTGGCTAAGCAACAAAGAGAGAGAAAAGGACAGTCAGCACAATGCGCATTCACCAAAAAGGCTAGTTCCATCAATACATGGGTTCACAAAAGATAAAGCGGATTTTGGCCGCTCCACCTATGCACCACGACTTGAAGGATCTTCAACTAAGAAATGGTTCGAGGCTTATCAATATGAAGACATGAGCCCTCAGTAAGCAACACATAACACAGATGACATGGGATATGACAACGGAATTATGGTGACAAAAACCTCGGCATCAGTAGCACATCAATATCTCACGCTGACTATTCGCTGCCACGTGACCACGTGGGGTCAAGAAATGCGGCGAGAATGAATGCACTTACATAGGCCCGGACTTGTGGATTACAAGTCATATGTCTAAATGGTTTGGCTACTAATGGCGTACCCATATAGTATATATATATATATATATATATATATATATATATATATATGGTTGGCGGCATGCGGTTTCCCCTCCAGCAACGACCAACTGTCTCCTGGAGCCAGTATGAACGAGGTAGTGGGTAACAGACAGGTAGGCAGCTTGTCAACATGCACATCAAGCGCAGCCACACCGGGGATATCAAGCAACAGCCATTCACTTTAAACGACAAGCTGAAATAAAATAAATCCAATAATGCATACAGATACGGTGGCACAACTTTTCCCTAAATTACCATATGAAGTAAGTTGGTTAGCAACGAATACGCGATAAGGAAAAATGTCCGCAAGTTAGTTAAAAATGCTACAAACGCAACAAAGTTGCTGAACATAAGCCCAAATAATGTAAGCAGCGTGGCCAGTTAATAGAAGAGTATTCAGGTAGGCAGAACAAACCAAATAAAGTGGAATGAAATTTATCCAGCTTAAAAAGACTTAGTTTAAGTGTAAGTTGGTTTAGCCCAACTGCGGTGAAGAAGCATCAAGAATGCAACATCAGCCTCAGCATGGGGCACTGAGATTACATGGTTGGCGGCATCCGGTTTCGGATTTGCCTGTCAATGTGGCCAGCCACAGGACGCCTGCGCCTACAGAGGGACCATGGGTGGCTTGCGCTGCACCACCCACAGCTCCATCCACACACCCCATATCCAGTGTAAACCCGAAGGAATAAGACCGGGAGGCATGTGGATGGGAGCCACGTATCATCAACGGAGCCGGCCCACACTCCTTCACAGGCAAACACAAGCACGCTGTTTTTGGGAAATCAAGCGCACACAAGGCGGTGGCTGGATCGTAGTCCACTCCACACTGAGTGCATGGAACCGCTCTTTGAGCCTAGCACGGCCACAAGGACCGTGCATCCCGTCCCCTCCAGCAACGACCAACTGTCTCCTGGAGCCAGTATGGACGAGGTAGTGGGTAATAGACAGGTAGGCACCTTGTCAACATGCACATCAAGCGCAGCCACACCGGGGATATCAAGCAACAGCCATTCACTTTAAACGACAAGCTGAAATAAAATAAATCCAATAATGCATACAGATACGGTGGCATAACTCTTCGCTAAATTACCATATGAAGTAAGCTGGTTAGCAACGAATCCACGGTAAGTAAGAAATGTCCACAAGTTACTTAAAATGCTACAAGCACAACAAAATTATCGAAGGTAAGCAAAATTAGCGCAAGCAACGTGGCCAGTTAATAAAACATTATTCAGGTAGGCAGAACAAACCAAATAAAGTGGAATGAAATTTATCCAGCTTAAAAAGACTTAGTTTAAGTGTAAGTTGGTTTAGCCCAACTGCGGTGAAGAAGCATCAAGAATGCAACATCAGCCTCAGCATGGTGTCTCCTCATTTGCGGATGAATCTTTCGCCTTTTACTGAGATTACATGGTTGGCGGCATCCGGTTTCGGATTTGCCTGTCACTGTGGCAAGCCACAGGACGCCTGCGCCTACAGAGGGACAATGGATGGCTTGCGCTGCACCACCCACAGCTCCATCCACATACCCCATATCCAGTGTAAACCCGAAGGAATAAGACCGGGAGGCATGCGGATGGGAACCACGTTTCATCAACGAGCCGGCCCACACTCCTTCACAGGCAAACACAAGCACGCTGTATTTCGGAAATCAAGCGCACACAAGGCGGTGGCTGGACCGTAGTCCGCTCCACACTGACTGCATAAAGCCACTCTGAGATTACATACATACATACATACCACCCTATTGTAGATAAGAACGTTTCGTTGTCTACCCATGGCAAGTTCTGCACTTCGCAAGTAACATTCCAATGAAGACTGCAACTCTTCAAGTTTTGAACGCAATGTCTCAATTAGCAAGCTCTGATCACGAATCAACTTCTCGGCAATGTCTAGTCTATGCACACAGTTTCTACTAGCAGACTCATGCACAGCTGAGACATTGGTAACTGGATCAAAAGTCCGATCGTGTATCAAGCGAGAACCAATGTCTGCTAAGCACACGCAGTGGAAGCAAATCCACTTTAATTGGGAATGTCGGGCATAAAGATCAATAGAGTCCTGGTCTAATCTAGAGCCGTTGTTATGGTACCATAACGAGCATCTGTCGCACTGAATTCCCTCTTTGACCACAACGCCACAAGTGTGTTCACCACATTTATAGCCAGCCACCGATGTCATTACAGATAGCACGTAACAGGCACGTAGTTCAAGTTCAAGTGGGACTGGAACGATAGGAGGAATCCCGTAAGTGTTCCTTCTTGAGCGGGTCGTCGATCCAGGAGTTGATAGGGGTGCTCCGACTTCTTGATGGGTCTAAAAGGAAAACAGCCGAAAAAACACCCTGGTCCACCAATTTAATGCCCACGTTCCTTACATTAGCTGTCCCAGCTATGTCAGTTACGTGAAGTAAGTAAGAGAGGAAGAAGAATCGAAGGTAAGAGAACAGGAAATCAGTTAAAAGAAGAGAATAATACCAATGGTGAGGAAAAGTAAAGAAAATAGAATCGAAGTATGAAGATGGGAATTTGTCAGGAAAACGGAAAGGTTTCGTGTTGCCACCCAAGAGCATCTAGTTGACGCTCAAACCCCTTAACCGTAGCTTCCTTGACAACATTTTCTGGAAGCAGGTTCTAGCGCTCGATGACTCGACGCGATAAGCGTGTCTCCGCTCTAACTCGATCGGACCGCGGTTTGTCAAGCTTCATACAATGCCCGCGAAGACCAGATAATCTAGCAGAACTAAATAGCATGGACAAATCAGGGCCAACCTTCCCAGTCAAAATACCGTTGGTTAGGATTAGGTCCCCTCTAATTCTTCGATAGTGCATTGAGTGCATCCCCAAACTAAGTAGGCGTTCGGGGTACGTTTGCCCTCGTAATCCCTTGACCAACCTAGTACCGACACGCAACACCCTTTCTAGTGCCATTTGTCCCGGACAAGGCATGGTGGACAGGCCTGGATGCAATATTCTAGGTGGGGTCGCACAAACGCTGAGAAGAGCTTCACAAACACATCAGCGGTTAGGGTCCCAAAAGAACGATGGATAAACCACAACATCCGGAACCCTTTACTAGCCGCCTTCTTCCAGTTGTCTCCAGAGTGTAATGTGGAGCAGTGAACGACACCTAGATCAACCTGATGAGCCACGTGAGGAAGTACAGTCCATCGAGCACATAACTTGTGGAGGAATCAGACGCTCCGATACGCAGCACTGAACACATTGCCCGGTTTATAGGCAGCAACCAGACAGACCATTCCCAGAGCCCGTTGAAGAGCCATAGGACCTCCAGGGATATCAACAATATTCCAGAGCTTTAGGTCATCTGCAAATAAAAGCGATTGTAAACAACCGGTTTTGTATAGTAATTTGGTAACGTTTCGCCTCTAACATAGAGGCTTCATCAGACCAGGTGAATCAGTGTGCAATTGGTGTGGGATTTTATAGCGAACAGGGGCGATAACCGCTTTACCCGAGTCTTGAGCCATGAGTCATTACAGAAACAGTTCGGGATGTCACCTCAGGTGGTTCGATCACAGTGGGAATAGTCCAGGTGTTCCTTTGTGTGTCATGACATTGACGGATAAGCCCGTAGTGTTGCCAATGGGAGTCGGTTTGCACTTTTCAATCTGATCCACGCATCGATGCTCGTCAAGCTGGTCGGCTTAAGACCGCCCGCCACGCATTAGGGATTTCTACCCCCTCCATTCTATTCACGCAGTCGTCAGATTTGGCAATTTCCACCGCCTCGGCAATCAGCCGCTGAGTGGTTGATCGGATACCCTTCCTAATGACCTCTACGTTTTCGAGGTCTATCTGGTGACCCGTGTCTAATGCATGCACAGCTACGGCCGAGTCTCTTATTATTGCTTGATATTCAAACTCGTTTCTTGGTAGTCTTGCAATGCGTCTCCTATGCTCAGAAATTCGTGTGCGTAATTCTCTCGCTGTTTGGCCTATGTACACATGTGCACAGTCCTTACATTTAATTTTATAAACACAGTTAGTCGTCCTATCCTTGGGAAGCGGGTCCTTCAGGTGTACCAGCGCCGAACGTAACGTTCGACCTCGGTGAAAGATCACCCTTATATTTTCCTTGTTTAATACCCTCGAATTGCCTCCGAAGTGCCTTCCTTGTACGGAATTCCGACCGTCCCTATCCACTCGGCTGGGGGTCTTGACTGCCGGTGTAGCACTTTATGTAATTGGCGTTTAACTAGCCGTCTTGGGTAACCACTTTCTAATAGTTTGCCCATTGCCACTTTCCGCGCAGCCTTTTTGTCCTCCTCCATTGTGCACAAGGTTTGTGCCCTGTA